ATATTATTAAAGACAAAAAAAATAAAAATAAATAAATAAATACTAATTAAAAACCATAGAAAAAATAAAAAAAATAAATTTATCAATAAAATTAAAAAATTTTAACCTATTAGCAATTTAATAAAAAAAATTACATGAGATAGCTTTTTTAATTTATTAATTATTTAGACTCTACTCACTATCAATTAATCTCAAATGTTAAATAAAAAGTTTTATCAAACACCTAAATTATAACGGTTAAATAAATTTATCAAACATCTATTTTTAACTATTTAAACAAAATTATTAACCCTGACCTCTACACCACTATACCAAATAGCCCTTAATCTTTATTTATCAAAAATAATAATAATTCCTCACAAAAAGGACAAGTTTTAATCGAGTCTTGCCCAGCAGCAATAACCATTCATCTCTTTTCTTCAGACGGCTCCCGGAGTTCAAATTATAGGGCACATGGATGATGAGGTAGGTTCGGAGAGATGAATCGGGAAACCGGCTTTGAAAGAAAAACAAAACAAGTTGAACCTTTTCGAGGGAAGCTTCATCAAACTGGGAGAAAACAGAGAAATAAAAGAGAGAGAACCATGAACACAATGAAAAGCGGACACTACTCTGTTTGCAACACTTTAATTGTGATAATGGCAAGTGTGCTGCTTTTACAAATTGAAGAAAGGCATGGAATCAAGAACACACTGAAGGGAAGAAAGCGAAGGTATTTACACCCATGTATCTATATAACAAATTATTTGTCAAGGCCCCCATTTAATCTGTGCAGGACTTTCCCCAACATATTTTGACCATCTACACTGGAGGCTAATGAATATCTATAGCATACAATCAGCGAATTGTGTCCATCAATATTCCCATAAGGATATCAACATTGGTTGTGAGCAAGGGGACAGGCACATTTCATATCATCTCATGATCCAGACTAAGATTGGATCTCTGACACTTGAAGGCACTTCGAGCTGACCCTCCTTCAGCCACCATGTGCTGCCTCCCAAATTTATGAAATCAGAAAAGAATGAAACCAGTCACCTCGTTTGAGAATTGCCGTCAGCATAAATTGACACACAAGCATCTGCAGCCCCAGCAGCAAGCAATACTTTGTAGGGATGGAAAGTGAGGCAGCTGACGGAACCTATCTTCTGGGCCATGAAGGTTGTATTGTACTTTATGGTGCCTAATTGTCCGCCTTCCAAACTGAAGACTTTGATTAGCTGTTTTGCTGAGCCACTGGCAATTATAGGGGCATATCTATGAACGGCTAAAGCTGTTAGTGAGCCCCTGTGTGCATTAATCGTGAGGTACGTATCTCTAGGTCTTCTAATATCAAGGAACTGAACATCACCAGCCTGAGATGCACTGATAATCTGCAATATGGGAAAAAGTTCAAAGAAACAAGTACAACTGTCATATCCCACAACAGCATTCAGTTAGAAATAAGGACGATAAAGCTGACAGCATTTTAAAAAGCACATTTTGCAAGTTCTCTAACTAGAACAAAACAGCATGAAACTTACCTTTCCTGCATCAAGTCCAGGCTGAAAGCCAATACCAACAACTCTTCCTACTTCTTTATGAGTATGTGGCTGCATTGCACGAACCAGCCTGAGAATTACATGGTTATAACAAACTTAGATCAAACAGAAAAGATGAAGTAATGTAAGAGAAAGAAAGATCTTTTATCTGCTTCTTTATAAAGATAGAGAATAGCATATATAGAAATCTTAGTTTTTATTCGATTCCATACTCTACTAGTACCATATTTGAATTTAGTTAGTTGAGAAATTTACACCATCAAGGGCAGCACATCTAGCATTACCATGATTTAGAAAGATAAAAACAATTCAAATTATCAAACTGCTCACATCATTTTTTTTTTTTAATCTGCAAAATGCTCATACTACTGAGGATGAACATTATGTCACGAAGACATAAATTAGTATACAATGTGATAGAACATTCCTAAGTGTCTTACATTTCAGGCGTCCGGATGTCATAGAGTCTTACACAACCATCCACAAAACCAGCTGCAAGTTGACTACCATGAAGTTGAGAAGCAGCCTATGGCAGAAGACATGCAAAGAAATGCCATTAGCATCATAGAAATATATCCAATGACAAGAGAAGGTAACCAGATGTAAATTGTCAACTGAATAGAGAATGGTAACAAGGATGTATCAACAATATGTAATCAGTGATGATATTAAATGATTTAAAGGTACTAAGTTAATCTAGAATCTTTAATTAAAATGGAAGTATAAGAATAAGACACCACGCCCCTACAACTATTTTAAAGAAATGACTAGAAAGGAAACTGTCAAACTGTGGAACAACCCATATCAATATCATACCAGCTTTATACCAGCTGGCATGCCATGAAAGAGTGTTTGATCAAATTCTTCTCTGCAGGCCTAAAATCATCATTCTGACCTACAAGGATATAACACCTTCTCCTGCTAAATTTTCTCAGTATGATATTGGTAGAAGCTGCTCAGGACAGTGCCCAATTTTATTTCGTTAAATGTGTTAACTCACAATTAATTAACAATAATCCCAGGGAGATCACTTAATATTCTAGGCATAAATCTAAAGGAAACCACACCAGAAAAATTTACATTAATTATTTTACCATCATAGCATGCTGCTTAATCAGGAAAAGCA